GTGCTGCTGAGGAGTGATATGCCAGGACGAAACGGCTGTCCCACGTTCCAAGTTTAACAATGGCTCCTCAACCAGTATCAGTCAGTGATGAATAAAACATTAAAAAGAGAAGAGTTTCAGAATTTGTTCAACCCATTCAAACTTCACAAGGAGTTTTAGGTAGTGCATAGGAGAGCTAGATTCCAGTAACCACTTTTGATGGGAAGCAGGTGATTACTGTTTTCTTTTTACTATGTTTTTCTAAAGGACAATCTCTTCAGATATCGAAATCCAGCATGAAAACTCTACCCACCACAAAAGAAGTGACTATCATGATTCGGTGGCCTAATGGAACAAACGGTCTCCGGTTCGAGTCCTACTGGGAATGATATCACTTACTGGGAGGGACATCCAGCCGACGAGTCTCAAATAAGAAGAAACACGCGTCCTGGATTCCACTGATAGTTACTATCCATAATTGGCATGAAAACCGAAAATGCCGCCAGTATCGAGGTTCCGAACAGGAGCCCATATGATCAGTTCGGTCCAATCAACGATGGGATAATGCAAGTACCAAGATAAAAATATATTCAATCCTAAGAAAAAAGTGATAAGACGATTGTAGCAAGAGAATTTTTTTCTTTTCCATGAGATCATTCTTCTTTAAGCTGTACATTCGTTAACAATATATAGTGGAACCTTCTTTGTCGCCAATACTCCTGTCAAAAACTCATTCGCCAGTATGTAAAGTATACGATGGAATATTGGGCTACATCAGTGTGTACACATAAAAGTTTACTTGCTCTTGTGGAGCCGAATATGCCGGCTTATGCAATGCGGTCGTGAATACTACCTAAACTGATAAAAGGAGAAGGGCAGTACATCTTCACTTTTGTAACAAATATTTGCCTACTTTTGATAATTCCTTCAAAATTTTGTGCAAAGTGCAACCGATCCACTGTACGGCAGTCTGGTTGAGAAGTATGGGTATAGTTGAAGCATTAACCACTCCAAAAGTTCAACCCATCATTATCCGTTCTTTTGCGCCGTGGCGAACAGAGGGTCGATCACTCTAAATATATATGACATAACTATCATTTTGTTTATTTCCCAACTTTACACGCCTATGAACATAATGTAACTATCTTTTGTCATGCAATCTGTTTTGATCTTTGACCGGAAATTACTCTGGAATGTTTTATCCTTCCTACGAGTGTACAGATAAGAGAGGAATCTCTTCGTTAAAAGATTCCATCATGTAAACGAGTGTAGTCTTTGACCTAATCAGAAGTTACACTCTTTGAAAGTGATTTGTCTGAGGGTTTGCTGGGTAGTGGAGTTTCGGTTGTGGGTTCGAGAACCACTCCACCTACCAAGGTTTGGACAGTAAGGTAGTAGTATCATTACACGTAACTCATTGCTTACTGGATGAATGTGCATCTGGTTGCTGAGTGCACCTCTCTCGCAGTAAGGTCACTACCACCTCCAGTCGAGTTCAGTATGTGTATTGATTGGACACGGGAGTGCAACCAATTTCATGTTGTCTAGTCCTGAGTGCAGATCGAATTCTGTCGATCATATTTGCAATATGGCAACCAAACTAGGAAGCTCAGCATCGCGGTGCACATTAGAAGATTTTAGTTGGTTGAAGGCAATCGACAGGAAGCCCTGGACCTAGGTTTCGTGCTTTTTGGCACTCGTCAGCAAGGCGTACCTACAACCTCGACGGAACTGATGTCCCTCCTGAGATTCAAGCCCTCGTCACCCAGTGTTGTAGTCAGCGACTTTACTACTGCGCTATTCGGGCGGTGACTGACCTCCTGTAGGACTGGCTTACATGTATTGATTGGTCAGTATGTGTTTGTGTGTGGCAGGGGTGGGGTGTTCACTCAAATAGGTAAATATCGCTTTTGGAAATTCACTTGATTTATGTTTTAGTACCAACATCGGAACAGCCCTCGATAGGTACCAAAAGATGTCAATTTCTTGAAAACCCCCTCCCCTATATAGTGTTCACTTACTAGGTTATTAATTGGGTGTTTTCATACAAAAAGCGTGAATATATGACTAAACTTAAAGTTCAGTTGAACCTTAGGATATTGGACAAGGAATGGACCATCCGCGTAACTGTGGTGGGATACTAAACAGAGTAAATGAAAAAAAGGTAACAACAGTTAAACTTCTGTTAAACACAACTAGAATACACCCAAGTTGGTGACCAATGGATAACTGCTGCAGTTGTCTAGTCCGCGAAACTTAGGTCCAGGGTTTCTTACCGACTGGCTTTCAGCACCAGTGAGTTAATTATGGCAGCAATCTGAGATCATTATGAAGGATCATCTAAAAGGCTGGGAAACTTGTACTCACTTCAGTGATACCTGTAGTCTTAATGAGACAACAGGACCCATAAGTCCAACCATGTTGAGTGTGAGGAAGACCACTCACCAATGGCATAGAATGATGGTCACACTATATCACAAACTGACAGAAGTGGGGAAGTATGGACCACTGGATTTCGCCCCAGTTGCTTAATGACAACGTGCTGACCGCGAAACCCGAAGGTCCTGGCTTCGATCCCTGGGAGGGGTATCATGGTTACGTACTGCTGAAGAGTCCCGTACTAGGACGAAACAGTTGCTAAATGCTCTCAGGTTTCCAGTGCTTCTCCAACTGATCTCAATTCATGATGAATACCAAGCTGAAACCACTGAACTTTTATTATTATTATTATTATTATTATTATTATTATTATTATTATTGTTTCACATTGATTATCATTCAGAAAGAGGAGGGGGGATTGGTTGTTCTCAAGGTATATTTCATCGCGGACTGACTTAATCAGAGAACTACTGAAGACTTGGAAACAATGTACAACTGTTTTATTCTAGTCTACAACTGGTTGGAAGTGAATCCCAACAACCCCATGAGGAACCAAGTCTAGGACCAGCACAATACCAGTCAACCAACAGGCTGGGATCGAATGGTCTAAATCTATACCGTTTGGTTGCTTTCTAACCATAAATTTGTGAAATCCATTCCGAAGTAACTCACTAACCAACACTGGATTGTTGTTTACTGTGGATATTCACGGTGGAATAGTTCATTTCACAGAAGTGTTTCTTCAGTTGGAGATCCTAAAAAAATTTGAGTTCCCCATAGTTTTGAGCTTCTCAGCAGTCGGCATCCATTGTTTAGTGTTCATCATTAGTGATTTGTTTCGAGATAGACTGTTTTACATGCGATCTATGGAGGCAACTAAGTCGGTTATGAAGACGCCCATGGTAGGGAGTGATGGTCATGTTATAACACAAATTGACAGGAATAGCAGAATGTTAACCAGTGAATTCCAAACAAGTCATTGAATAGCAAAACTTGTGTGCTGTGGGATATGATGGTCTTCGGCTTACTCTCTCCACAGTCTAGGAGTCAGAAACACTAAGTAGGATGTGTCCTGTGGTCTGAGACTTTCAGTTTGGGAGGAATGAAAGCTGTTCCCTCAAATCCTGATAGGAACAAAGTGTTCATTTCACTTCAACGATTGTTTGCGTACCTTATGACTACATGGAGCACATGGTCACCTGCACCCCCCCCCCATATTGCTTCGTTTTCATAAGTCATGATATAGATGATGTCGAAATTTAGTGCTAGGGGGTGATTTTTAAACCTCCTGGGTCAAGTAAGCCACTCGCAATGATATTTTCAAACAAATTATGAACCGAAGAGTTGGCTATTTTTGTAAATTATTTATTACTACATTTAATTCTACCGTTATTATACTGGATTGAACTAGTCGGCCTCGGTTGACAGATGGACGCCTGTGCGAATGTCTGGACACTGCCTGAATGTCTATTGCTATAATTTACTTGGTAGAGTTCAGTAGTGGAATCCAGCACGTATTATTCGTGGGATTCGTCAGCTGGACATACTGAACTTCAGTGTAGGATGTTGCCCCCCCCATCGGACTTGAACCCAGCACCGATCGATTCAAATACCAAAGCGTTATCCAATAAACCACTGACGCATGACGGTTGAGTTTGTCTGAAAAGTCATTATCTGCTCAAACTACATATAGAGGCTATGCATTCCGTTGAAAGTCAAAGTTGATTTGAATGTCATATGTCGTAAAGCATTATTGCTAATACAAATGTGTTTTTGTAATCACAGTATGGATGATGATCAAGTATGTGTTAGAGAAAACGACTAGTTTACCATTTGATATCAACCTGATGGCTCAATGTTCATTCAAGGATTCCACAACATCATCTACCCAAGCGACTTCTTACCACCGTTTCTTCACAAGACGAGAGGGTTACACATAAGTCAGGTCGTTATAATCCATCAACAGTATTTAAATACTTGACACAAACTAACTTCCAGATTTATTTACCAGAGTTGTCATGGAAACCACTGATATGTACCTTTCATATTATACATGTTTTAAATAAGCAGATAGTCCCTATTATGAAGAATTACTGAAACGTGTAACCACTGAGGAGAGCTGTTTCTTCCTACTTTCGAAGTCGTTAATAATGCTCAACTGTGAATAGTGAAACACAAAGTCTCTTATCAACTAGGCCACTGTGCTGACCCCATATGCTCAACTACAGGAGTTAAATATGTGAACCGTTCATAATTTGAGTCCTATTACTACAATTAATAATGATACCAAAGACTATACGATACCTGCCGTACAAAGAGTGGTTGTCGTGACTCAGTGACCTAGTGGATAAAACTCTAGCCCGGGGCTCGAGTGGAACATCACTCACTAGAGTGCAGGTACATCCAACTGACGAGTCCCAAATAAGATGAAATACACGTCCTGGATTCCACTACTAACCATTATCTATCATTATTATCAAGGTTGAAACTATCGGCAGTATCGGGGTACCCACCCAGGAGCTTATGTGCCAGTCGAGACTGATCAATCCGGTTCACCTAACGACGGAGACTTGCAGACTAAAGAAGCAAGGATAATAATAAGTCTAACCAAGTTAATATGATACAATGAGATCATGACTTACGTATTTGTCTATTCATTTCGCGGTTGATTTGATTATGTATAAAAGTATGATCACAGGTTCCATTTGGAAAGTTTTGTGAATAACAAAGATCATTACAACTTCTATTACTATTATTGATCAATGAATTCTTCCATAGATCCTGGGGTACATGACTGACAGTGTGATCAGTAGTGCTACATACATGAGAAGGATTTCCAGTGATACTCTGTAAGCCTGAAGTGATATTTGTAAAGTGGCATCTCTGGTAATCAGACAACTGATGTGTTGTATTTGATTGAAAAACATTATCATCACTGTTAACACTGTTGCTGTGACCGCTGCCATTACCGTGTTTGTTATTATCAATATTACTGCTGAGTCGCATCATTGCCTCCAAGTACTGGATAGACATCTGTTGAAGATTATTATCCTCTGACATTTTAGGAGTCATCATGTTCACGGTAAATAATAATGCATATAGTGTCTTTTAAGCGAAAAACAGATTGATTATATGCTTGGAGAAAGTTCCGTTCATATGGTTAAATTGAAATAGTATGTAGCGTCTCAACCATTTATTTTCTTAAATCCATTTGTTTCATTAGCTTCCGACCGGTTAATCATAATTTGTTGCCTTCACATCTACTTACCAGAAAAGGGGTAGAAAGTTTCATATTATCTATCCCAGTTAACAAGTTGTTTCGCTACTAGAAGGAACTACCCCCCTTCAAATAAAACTGACCTATTTCAATCTAAATTCTGATTGGTTGAAATTTCCATCAGCCGTCTCTGTCATCAAGCTAACACATATCATATTGGTTGAGTGAAAAAAAGCTCTACCAATCAAAAGCGTAATTAAAGCTATGCTTAAACTTTAAAAGGGGGGATACATAAAGAAGCTGTTAGAAAACACATCTCAATACTCTTTCCATTCTTACAGGCACAAAATTGACATTTAGCAAATTTTTTAGTCAATTGAGGTAGAAAAAACAGATCAGGTGATCAACAAACATGAATACAAATATCTAGTCAATTTAATGATCAACTCAGTATCTCTAAAAAATAATCAGCATGTGTGCAAGAAGAAATGAATGTCATCATCTCATGGATTAGCAAAATACGCATTAATTAATGAAGTATACTGGACTTGATAGATTTGTGCGAAATTTGTTACAATTTTTATGAATAGCATGCATTCACTTTACTCACTGATTAACGAACTTGATCTGCTAAACGAGGAAGTGAATTATTCTTATGCAGCAGTATTTAATAAATGGTTTAATATAGTAATTGTAAATAATACTCAAGTATTGTGTATGCATACATGTACGTAAGCACCTAAATAAGCGTATAGACACCCCCACATGTATGTGCTATATATTCATGTCTGTACAAAGAAACAGACATGCAACCAATGCAAATATATATATATATATTACAGTAAAGAGAAAGTGATGAATTTTCACAGTAATCTGAGTAAATCTTACACTGATTCGCTTTCACATTATTCTTTCATTTAATGTTGTTGTTTAAATAAAGAGTAAATAACTGCCAATATTAACAGTTAGTCTATACCTACCAGCTTATATTTTTATTTACATCTTTGTGTGTATCTGTTTCGCACATTTGATAGTTGTACTGTTGTTTTATTGATATTGATATTGGTGGTGGTGGTGGTGGATACGGCGGCTATGGAGGGTAGTAACGATGGAGGTGAACTGCTTCTTTGCTTTCTCATCAAAACTTCATTCTTTCTTTTAAAAATGAATTGTAACAATGATAGGAAGGTAATAAATGCCAAAAAGTGATTTTGTTTTGATTTAATTATTGAAAATAAAGTTGGCTATACTCTGTTTGTCATCGAAGTGGAGTGAATCTATATGACCATTATAGGTTGGATTACGCATATAGCGTGCGTAGGCGATGTTGACAGTATTATATTTGTAGTATACTTGTTGGCTAGCAGGATGCTCGTTTTCGTCCTAGTTGGAACTCATCACCTGGATGTGCCTGCTACCAAGTGAGTGATGATTTTCCCACCCAGACTCGGAATTCTAAGCTGGGAGATTTAGCATCATGGTGGAGTTTGATTAAATTCGCTTCACTCTATTACAGATGCTACCACCGAGCTATTCAAGCCACGACTGATCTTCTGCATGAATGGATTAAATAAATTAACTGGGTATTACGAAGTATCCATATTCATGTCGGCTATCCCTGAGTGCTGATTGAATTCTATTGGTTCTTTTGTAGTGTAGGCACCAAGCCACAAGACAACACTACGATGTACTTCGACTGATTAGAGGTGATCCGTAGAAATCCCTGAATTTAGGTTTAGAATATATTCTTATTTCTCAGCAAGACATATCTCCAGCCTCAAGGGAGCTGATGTTCCCACAGCAGTAGCATCTTTGATACAGATGTGTATGTCTTGAAGGCCGTTAGTCTCTTTGGGTTTGAAGATATGTTTAACTAACGAATCCTAACAGATGCGAAACGTAAGTCTAGGGCTTCCTATCTCCTGACTCTCGCCAACTAACAGGGAAATACAGTGTACCACAGTGTCACGTCACTACGCTTAATGTGGCCAGATTGCAAAACTCAGACGACAGACTACTCACGACCACTCGTAACCGACTCACTGACCAGTCCTAAAAGACTGTTTTTATAAGGTTGGATTCCCCCCCCCCTAACCAATGGAAACGAAGGACGAAAACTGATACATGTGCATTAAATCCAGTCAGACAGGAAGTCAGTCTAGTGGTAAAGTACTTGGCTGCATTACTGAGTAATCGAATTACTATGATTTTCCTCAGTGTTGCGGATACACCTAATTGGTTAGCGCTAACATGTACAATACTTAAGTCAATCAGGATTCCCTGCCAACTGATTGTATAAAATTAAAAACTGATTATTAGAAAAGAAAACTTTTTTTCAAATTCATACTTATTGTTGATATCGATCTGCAATAAGTGGAAGATGAATTTGGTTGTAAATCTATATAACCTGAAAAGATGAAGTATACTTCAGGTAACGGTATCGAACCAGTGACCTTCAGGTCACTGGTTTGAATCTTACCATGGCCCAGATTTTCATCCCACGTTCAATCATTATCCCAGTGTCAATAATACAAGTCTTCTGGCTGTCTGACACAGTCAAAGGGATAACTGCGTTTGTCAGTTTAATCTCCTTGACTGCATGGTGAAGGCGTAATGCATCACTTCAAAAAGTGGATGAATAATCAATCTATCTACTATAAATGTTACACCCCAGCGTCGACAGTTGTATCAGAGCTCATGGTTATCTCTTAGGTGGGATGGTTTACTTCTAGTGCTGTTAGCTAATGACATCTACTCTTTTCTTTTTCTAGGATGACTAATTTGCAGATGATTTGTAAATTGCCTATCCTCATAGATGGATAGTTAGTTTTTCAACTGCCCAACTGTGGAGTCAACAGGAATTCCGTCGAAAATCACTCAGGTGATTTGAACTAATTTGAGTCTATGAGCTGAATTTGTCTGGATACACCATTGATGAACTGGATTGGTCCAAAAACAAGTGATACGGTCATGTGATGTTGTTTATATTACTCTGATCTGGCTGCCTGGCGAAATCTACAGACTGACCTTATTGGTTTCTAACTACTTTCAAGTTGTTCAGTAGTATATGTTTCCATTTTAGTATTAACTTTATCATGAAAGTGTTTACACGGTCTGAATGCCACAATCTGATTGGATAATAGGTAAATTTTGAGTAGATTTAGATGTAAGTAGTTCAGGTAGATAAAGACAGTGAGAAAAATGCATAGTATTTTGAACACTTCGTCTCCACCTGGCTTGTAGAAGATAAATTATTTCTTCAGGACTGACCCATTTTGGTTCCCCGTTTGGGAGTAGGATATAAAGTAGTAGAATGCCTAAACAACCTCACTTACTTTCTAAGTAATATCAAGGGTGGTTGGTTAATGGGCAATAAAATCTCTTCACGGATACAAAAGGCTTGAATGGCGTTTGTTAGTGGGATATTTGAGTTTCTAATGACAGTCGGGTGTACTACGTAACACTCCGTCTTGTCCCACTGCATAGCTGTGGAACATGGTCATTGAATCTGCGGGAATGAGAAGTTTCCTGATATTTGATAACCTTGTCTTAGGTGCATTTTTCGCACAGCACATAATCGTTTCATAAATAATGAAGAAATTGGTGCAGGATCTTTGGTAAGAGAGGTGAACCAATTGATAAAGTTTTCAGTCATCATCGAATGAAGTGGGTGGAGTACAAGTTACCCATTCCTAGTCACTTCCTAACCTGACAAACTTTATCAACTAAATTAGTACTAGGCTGGAAGAAAGCCAGAGGTTCCTAGACAAAAACTTGACATGTGTACTTTGATTTTAGCAGTGTATTGGAATGTAAACTTCTTGAAGCAACCCACCGGCTTGAGACCTGGCATGATTTGGCTTGGAATCCTAGTTTTTGCTTACTTAAGCTCCTCTTCTATTTACCTCATGATTTTCTACTACTTTTTAGCGAGTTATTTCAATTCCTTTGACTTTTATCAACGATGTGACATTTCAAACTATACCATCAAACTTTACCTATGGCATCTAGAGTGGCTTTCATAATTGAGTAGCATACTAGCCAGAGCTCCAACGCTTTAAGCAATGTGCTCTGGGTCTGAGTTCCTGTAAAAGCACCATTACTGACTAGAGTTCAGGTACACTAGGCTGATGAGTCCCAGTTAGGCTGAAATGTGTATTCTGGACTGCATTGCTAGCCGCTATCCATCATTAGCATTAAGATGAAATTACCGACAATACGGCTACATTTGCACAAGAACTCATGTATCATTAGTGACTGACTGGTTCAGTCGAATCAACGACGGGCTTCTATGAGCTATAACACTTCATCTTGCTGCCGATATACAATAGAGAACCTAAAATTCTTCTGTTATGCATTTAATGGCCTATGGGAACCGAATAATTCTCGAATAGTTTTCACAAGGAACTGAAATCAGCTGAAGAGTCACTGAAAATCTTCTACCACCGAAGAGATGCGTTGTTCATGAATAGTCATACTCAATGCCGTCAGGTATAATAGCAAGCATGCTGTTGATCAGCAAGCGAGTTGAAATCCAATTGTGATTGCTAACATGCTCACCACGAAGCAACTACCCAGGTTTCCACTAGTTCTCCAACTGATAAAGTTATTTCAGTGGAACTGTGACTAATATTGGTGCTACTGACTTGACAGTGGTTTGTAAGGTAATTCATCCCATTTGCAGTTTGTCACTTGGAAATATGTGATTCATGCTGAATGATAGTCTATCCATTGAAGCCCAGAGAACATCCTCTAAAACTCCAGAACATGATCCAGTAGGCTACTAATGAGGGGTGGGGTTCCCAACCCCCCTGTCAACAAGTTTTTGACTTGCTGTAGGCTCCCTTTAGAAATATAG